CTTCAACCGAAACCTGTGAGACGGCAGGATTTTCTTCAGCAAGCTGATTTTTGAGTTTTAGTAGAGAGGTCACTCAAATAAATGGGGAAAAAAAATTGAGTACTTTTTATCTTCTTTCAGTTTATCACCATTTTCCCATTAAACTGTTAAACCATGTTCGGCTTCATCGGACTCCACTGTACTGAAATTTTCTTGCGTAAGAGGCATGGGTGCTTTTCATATCAGTCACTGACAGAGAAAGAAAAATGAATGGAAACTGTCAGAAATGTTATATCTAGCACAATATTGCAAAAACAGGCCACAATTTTAAAAAGATCCCACCATGTAGGGAGCGCAGTGAGTTACAGGTTTTGAGCACTAATAAATTGGCACATTTTTGTTAAAGAGACAGGTTTTACTCCTATTTCGACAGCACAGGAGGCTGCCTGGTTTAGAATGGTACTTACTTAAACTTACTACATGAAGAAATTGTTGAGTTGTGGGGGAAAAAAAACCCCACTCTTGCATGCACACTATGCACACAAAAAAAAAGAAAGTAAAAAAGATGGAATTTCATACAAAATGCCGACAAAGTTTCTAATGACAAATAGGGTGGAAAGGCACAGAGGTGACTGACTGAGTGGGCAAAGAGCAGGTCTTACTTGTAATTCATTAAGAGCATTCAACTTCAACTGCAGTAATCTTTCTGATAAAAGCAAAACAAAAATAAAAAAATATATAGTTACAGAAGATACCCATTTTCTTTCTTAGAATTAAAAGATCTAGTTCATTGACTAGCAAGCCCCTGTAAAAAAAAAAAAACAACTTAAAAAAACAACTAAAAAAAAACAACTAAAAAAAAACCCCAAAACCCCTCTAAAAAAACAACCCCCCGAAAAAATAAAGAAAGAAAGAAAAAAAATCCAACAAAAAAAGAAAAAAAAACCCAGAGGCATCAATTTATGACAATCACTCGACTCCTAAAACAAACAGTCCTAATCTAATCTGCACCAATAAAATCCTCAACAACATCTACTCCGTCTACGTTGCTATTCATTTTCAAATCATCACGTCAACTCCACAGCACACCACGATGAATAAATGAATACAACAGTCCACAAATATATAAAACAACCCCCCAGCATATAATATTAATATGCATGCATCCTACGTAAACAAGCAGCAAGTCTTTTCAGTAACTACATTGAATGAAGCACACCATTATAATTAATCATTATAATATGCTGGGAAAAAGACTTCTTTCCTACGCGCAGAAAACATAGCCAGAAAAAAAAAAAAAAATCTTTCAAATTTTCCCCTCTAACCAAGGGAAGGGAATGCTGTTCTGAACCAAATTTTAAAAAACACCAAAAAACAAAAACAAACAAAAAACCCAAAAAAACCAACGCGCTAAATTACTGGCCACATATCATTCAACCTTTTTTTAGAGAGTATAAGGGCAATAACAAAAACACATTGATAGATCTACGACAATGAAATACTTTCTACCCTAGATGCTCTCTTCCTGTAAGAATTCCTCGCCTCCATTAGACCATCAGACCCAGACCTTGAACCAAATCTTCGTAAACGACCAAGAAACTGAAAAGCTATACTGCTAACATCTTATCGAAAAAAGAGAAAAAAAAAGAAAGAGAAAAAAATACAATGTGTACTATATACCACTGCATGAACAAGTATGAAATTGGGCTATTTCTATTTTCTATGAAAAATACATAAGATTCCAGATGGCCAAGTGCCAAGAATCTCCCCCCCCCCCCCCCCCCAACCAAATATATATAAAATATATATATAACCCCACACAAATCTCATTTTATTTTCATTAGGAAACAGCAGCATGCTCTTTACGACTCACTAAACATTTCAATGTTGACTCTAAATACTACAAACACTGTACATACATGCAAACAGAGTCTCATAAAAGTCATGCATTAAGAGAGAAATGCAAATGATATATGCTGCTGGTGGAAAAACTACGCAAAACATTCAAATTTTTGTACACACCCAAAGGCACAAGAATATTTCAGAAAAAAAGATAAATGCTTATGACACTGGACCTTCCACACAGAGGGCATTAATTTCTTCTCAAAACTTTCTTTTCCAGTGCGTAGCTACGTTGCGAGTATTTTGCACAGATGTCAGGTGAACAGTTTGTCTATTTCAACGAATATCTGTTTCGCAGGCGAGTGAGTGATTTATTAGTCTGTTAACAGTCCCTCTACCTCTCGTCAAGCATGACGACTTTTCAGGCACTCACTGTACACCATAAAAAATAGTTCCAAATTGTGGGAAAACACACAAAGCACCATAACTTTGAAACACATCAAATACCTTTCTTCAGACACAGCAAAACAGCCACCTCAACTATTCTACAGATTTCATTACACAATGAGAAACATGAACCAAAAATGCCATCGTTTTAACTAAACTTGATGCATTCAACAGAAAGCTCCATTTTCATTACTTATTTCATTATAGACAAAGTACCACCTTCGCAGCCACACTTACGAAAAACACCAAACTACAGTGCTCACAAAGTACTTCCTTCGCAACCACACTTACGAAAAACACATAACTACAGTGCTCTGAACGTACGTTTTTTCGCAAGCCAGACCAATAAATCTCTGAACCCAATAAAAAGAGAACCCCTTCAAATAATTTATAATAATGACCAATAGTATTTGTAGAGCACATATCCCCACTCAATAGCAGACTCTCTGTGCTTTACAGTCTATATTATTACCCCAGCCGACCCTAGAGCACCCGGAAACATTGTCGCGCCTATGACATCATTCATGCAACAAAAACACAGTATCTTCACAGTTCATCCCATATGTGAGGCAGCGTGGTGGAATCAGGCTCTCGTCAATTTTGGGGCATGTAGAGTTATTGGTACCATCATAAAGCTTGTTCATTTGTCTTTATTTAGTAAGATGAAAAAAATATCCTTTATCTTGAATACAAGTCGAGATATTTGCTAAAGATGGAGGTGGGGGTCACCTGTTTTCAGAGGTAAAATTAGTGAGAAAATGGTCGCCAAAGATTAGTTATTTACTTAGCTTAAGAGTCCGTGGTAACTGAAAATTTACATTTTTTGAGCATTTAATCAACGTTTTTCAGAAAAATCCACACAGAAATGAGTTCTTTAAAGGGCATGAAAGGTGTTGAGCCAAAAAACAAAAATTTGATAAAAATTCACAAACGTGCGGAAAAATGCAAGTTTCTTCACTTTGATTATTTTGACGAGAGCCTGATTCCACCATGCTGCCTCACATATCCTGTTGAAACACAATATCCAACCCTAATTTACAATCTTTATTGTCACCCCAGCAAACCCTAGAACATCTAGAAACACTGTTGGTTTCCCTGCAAGCATATTATGATATCACACACGCTACAAAAACACATCAACTTCACAGCTCAACCTGTACTGTGTCGAAACACAATATATCCAAACCTCATCACACCCTTAACATTTCACAAACAAACACCCGCAAACTTCAGAATGCCGCAACAAATCAATCAATCACTCCTACCACAAATCGATCAATCAATCACTCCAACCACAAACCAATCAATCACTCCTACCACAAATCAATCAATCAATCACTCCTACCACAAATCAATCAATCACTCCGACCAAAAATCAATCATTTATCAATCAATCACTCCTACACAAAACCAGCTAATTTCAATTTTAACCACCTCCGCTTGCTTCTCGCGCTACGTTCTGGCTTTGAGAGAGGATCCGCTGGCGGGTTTCTTCTCGTAAAACAAGCTGCGGATGGTGATCACCTGGACCAGGGCGACGGCGATCATGACGGCCAGCTGGAAACAGGAGAAGAAGTTGACGCGGTAGAAGTTGGACTCCTGCGTGTTGCGATCTTTCGCCTCGTGGATGCGAATCAGCGTCTGCACCTGCACAGAGCGCTCGATATTTTTCTTGGCTCTTTCCAAAATGCCCTGAGGAGGAAAAAGAAAATAGAAGTTCAGTTTTACTGCACTTGCAACACAATAAGGTCAAATAAGTGCTGAGGATTAGAGGTGTCACAAGAGAGCAACAAACACAAATGGGAAGGAGGGGAGATAAGGACGATAGATGTTTGATAGGAAAGAAGGATCGAGCAAACCAAGCCAGAGCACTCACCGACCACCCACAAAGAAAAAAGAAGTGGAGTCGAGAATACAAGAACAAAACGGAAAAAAAAAATAACAATTGAAACTGTCTACGACGGTCACCTGTTGTCGAGGAAAAAAGTGGCTACATTAGACAGGTGCCTGTCTTACACAGTGTCATGATAATGTGAAAAATATACTAGGGAGGAAATGGGAAGTGGCCATTTGCACAGACGATTGTTTTATACAGATGGCCATTACAGCAGGTTTGACTAGATTTTTTTT